TTTTCGCTGGAGGGCAGTGAGATTTGGAGTGAATTGCTCTCTCTGTCATGCACTGCCCGGCCTCATTTGGGAACCCTTCAGCTCGAGCCCTGCGGTTACACAGTGCATAAAAGCGGAGCAGAAATTGATTGAGATGTTCCCTCGTCCTCAGCAGGGCGGCTGTGTTGATCTACAGTGCTGCTAGCGGTGTAACAGCAAACCAAGAGCGTGTACCAAACGCCAATAACTGTTAGTCCTCCTGGACCGCTGTCTTCTACATGCTGTTAGGGCTTGTTTTGAAGCATCTGCATGTGCAGATAAGTCAGTACCGAACATCTTGCCCTCTAACAGAGATGAATGTAGCCTTCTTTTTTTTCCCCCAGCACCTTCAAATCAAACCCCTTCTCTCCAAGGCCATTAAGGATGGAAATTTTCATTTTCATTTAAAGCTTTACCCAATATTACGAACAAATATCACATAGAGTGCCTAAAATATGATGTATTACTCTAAAAAGAAATATTGCGTGATAATGAGAAGCAGTGGCTCGTGGCTATCTAGGAGCTGTGAAAATGGACTTATCCAGTGGTCCATTTGACTGGCTGCTAGTTCTTGTTCCAATGTCATGCTAAGCTGCCAGCAGCCTGGAAGCCAGTGCAGAAAATGCAGAAGTAAAATGCAAACATGTCACCTTTAAACCAGTGCTTGAATAATTGCCACTTCCACAAGGCGTTCCTCAAGGTTCAATACTAGGCCGGCTTTTGTACTTCTCTGCTCATCTGGCCACTAGCAGGAAAATGCGATTCCAGAGAGACCTCGTTTCACCGTCACTTTAAATTAAATGCTCCGGTCTCCCTTCCTATGCACTGTCCCAGTCATGTCTCCCCTGTAAGACCCTAGGGAGAGACGGCAGAAAAAGCAAGACCACACTTATTAAATGCCCACCCGAGTGGATGTTTCATCATGTCAGATCCATATAATGCTGTTTGATTGAATTCAGCTTTATTATACTTTCTCAGAACTGCATAACAAAAGATTTTCTCACTGTTATCACTGCTGTACCATGCATGATAAACACAGCAATACAAAGATGTGCTGTAGATACAGTAGTAAATTGCAAGAGATTGACAGTGTAAGCATACATATTACAATACTGGACAGTACTGTCAGTAGTATTATGATGATTATTATACCAAAACTATACAAATTAAACATTAAATTTAACATGGTCACAAACTCACCCTCAGCCTAATTAACCATCATTAACTGTTTTAATAGCCTCTAACCTTTAGTTTTATCTAACACTGCATTTTGAATGTTTGTAGTGACCTGTGATTTTTATCATTGAACACATTGTTTTGATTAGCTTGTGTTGCTGATGTTTATAAAACCTACATTATTAACAGATTTATGTGAAAATTACAGTGCCATACAGACCTTCGCCATCGAGGCTGGTTTATGGCATGTTGTTTTCATTCAGCGCTACGAACTATTGGTCAAAGCCAAGATAACTGACCTGGGGCTACATGAGGGGCATGAAAAACTGCCACCTTAACTATGAGCTCATCCTAAAAATGTAAGCTGTAGCTAGGTAGGTAACCTGGTAAGTAGGTAGGTAGCCTGGTAAGTAGGTAGGTAGCCTGGTAGGTAGCCTGGTTGAAAGGTAGGTAGGTAGCCTGGTAGATAGATAGGTAGCCTGGTAGTTAGGTAGGTAGCCGGGTAGGTAGCCTTGTAGGTGGCCAGGTAGGTAGCCTGGTAGGTAGGTAGGTAGCCTGGTAGGTAGCCTAGTAGGTAGCCGGGTAGGTAGCCAGGTAGGTAGCCTGGTAGGTAGCATGGTAACTACACCCTTCTATGTAGTTTTGTAATATTTCCAAACAAAATGTAATTATTGTCATTAAAATAAAGTATTAAAAATATATCACTGCTGTCGGAACAAAATCCATTTTTCAGTTATTCACATTATGTGAAAGTACCCGTTGTCCTATAGATTGTGTGTAAATTTCATGATGAATTAACCAAAAAAAGGGACCCAAATTCCACTATTAGGAAAGAAGTCTGGTTCCATTGACTTACATTAGAAGTAAAGTATGTTTTTTCCTTCTCTTGTAAAGTCACCATTTTGGAGGGTCGGGTTTTCTACCAACAGCGGCGATAATTAAGGTGTGGTTATTATTCACTCCACCCCCAATTTTGAATCAATAACAACAAACAGTCTATAGATTAAAGAGCCCATATCCAACATTTTCATGCATTTTACTGTTTTCTTTGATGTCTACCAGTGATGTTTGTTTTTTGTATGTACCAAAGATAGTAAAAATTAATTTTACATGACTATTTTTTAACCTTTCTTTATCCCTTAGAATTAAACAGGCTGTTTTTGTTTCTGTGCCTTTTAGGCTGATGAATGTAAATACATCGTTGCTCATTGGCTGTCCTGTACTGGGCTTTATTCAAACAGCATTTCAGGCTGAAACACTCCTTATGACTTCTGGGTGAGTGGGCGGAGCTAAACTGCTGTAGGCTGAACAGGTGGATGAATGACATCACAAAAATGGCAGCTTTACAAAAAATGGAACTGCATTGTTCTGGACAGTGATGATGTGTGGACTGTGTGTTGTGGGGAGTGAACGGTTTTCGAACCTTCAGCCGTGTTTACATCCACATCAACCCCTCTTACTTAAAACTGTGGTTGGGGTTTCGTTGCTCTGAGCCCTTCGATGACTGTTCTATGCCGTTGTGTCAGATCTTCTTTAACTCCGAGACCTTTTGGACTGCTGCTGTTTCTGAGCTTGTGGAGTTTCTAATTAGCTGCTGGAGGATCAGTAACCTCGTACAGGAAAGAGATGGATGGTGTTTGTTAGCACGTTCGCTTTTCTTTCAGAGCTCAGAGTGCAGACAGTGCGAGAGTTTGTTTTATTTGCGCAGGAGAAATTTTGCATCTGAGCAATTTCTGTCCCTTTGTAGCCGACTGAGTTCTAAAGCACACCGCCCTGAACATCTGCAGTGAGCGAGTGTCTGTAATACATTCATAATAAATAGAATAAAACCCACTGAGAGCGAAATGCACACACACACACACACACACACACACACATTCACACACACTCGCACACACACACACACACACTCACACACACTCGCACGCACACACACACACTCGCAGGCAGGATGATCAGGAGCAGAGCTGGATATGTGAGTGTGTGTGTGTGTGTGTTAAGCTGCAGAGATGGAGGATTACTGCTCTCTTCCTCCCTTCTGTCAGAATGAGGCAAAAGGGAAAAATAAATTCGCTTTCTGTTTTCCTCTAGTTTTGCAGGCGTGACAGCATGCTCGAGAGAGAGAGAGACAGAGACAGAGACAGAAAGAGAGAGAGAGACAGAGAGAGAGAGAGAGACAGAGAGAGAGAGATTTAAAACTGAAGGAGCAAAATCATTTCTTTTTGGTAACTCAAGATTGGGGGTTAGGATTAGAAAACTCATTACTTACACATATAGATGGACAAAAGTATTGGGACACCTACAGGAGGTTTTATGAATCCCATTCTAAATCCATAGGCATTAATATGGAGTTGGTCCCCCTTTGAGGCTCTAACAACTTCCACTCTTCTGGGAAGCTTCTACAGGATTTCGGAGTGTGTCTGTCTGAATGTTTGTCCATTCATCCAGAAGAGCATTTGTGAGGTCAGACACTGATGTTGGACGAGATCTGACTCACAGTCTCCATACTAGTTCATCCCAAAGGTGTTTGATGGGGTTGAGGTCAGGGCTCTGTGAGGGCCAGTCAAGTTCTTCCACTCCAAATTCACTCAGCCAGGCCTTTATGAACCTTGCTTTGTGCTCTGGGGCTCAGTCATGCTGGAACAGGAAAGGTTCTTCCCCAAACTGTTCCCACAAAGTTGAAAGCATATAATTGTCCAAAATGTCTTGGTGCTGAAGGATTAAGATTTCCCTTCACTGGAACTAAGGGTTCTAGACCAACCCCTGAAAAACAGCCCCATAGCATTATAGCATTATCCCTCCTCCACCAAACTTTACAGCTGGCACAGTGCAGTCAAGCAGGTAACGTTCTCCTGGCATTCACCAAACCCAGACTCGTCCATCAGACTGACAGAATATGTTTCCACTGCTCCAGAGTCCAGTAGCACCGTGCTTTACACACCCCCCAGCTGCATCTTGTAGTTGCTCAGCCATGGAAACCTATTTCATGAAGCTCCTGATGTGCAGTTCTTCTGCTGATGTTGCTTACAGAGGCTGTTTGGAACAGAGGATAAGAGCTTCAGCACTCGCCAGCCCCACTCTGAGTTTGTGTGGTCCGGTGACCAGGGCAGATCTAGCTGGACAGAAGTTGCACAAACTGACTTATGGCAAAGGTGGCATCCTATGACAGTGCGACCCATTCTACTGCCAGTGTTTGTCTGTCGGAACTGCAAGGCTACGTGCTTTATATATATATATATATATATATATATATATATAAATAAATACCAATCAGGCATAACATTCATGACCACCTCCTTGTTTCTACACTCATTGTCCATTTTATCAGCTCCACTTACTATATAGGTGCACTTTGTAGTTCTACAGTTACAGACTGTAGTCCATCTGTTTCTCTGCATACTTTGTTAGACCCCTTTTACCCTGTTCTTCAGTGGTCAGGACCCCCCATACATATGTATATGTATACATACATACATATATATGTATGTTAGTGTCCTAAAGAAGCGTTTGCGGACTTCAGGACGTCACCCTCACAATAACCGGTTAAAAAATATACTGAACAAAAACAGAAATGAAACACTTTTGATTTTGCTCCCATTGTGCAGCTGTTTGATACATTTTGCTAAAAAGAATTTGCGCTGCTGCAGACGGCCGCGCGAGAGACCAGTGTGGGAGTTCTGTTTTTTTTTTTTTGTGAGGTTTTTCAGCAAAAAGTGTAAAAACGTTTATATTTTTGTTCAGTGCCATGTTTAATCTCTCTCTCTCTCTCTCTCTCTCTCTCTCTCTCTCTCTCTCTCTCTCTCTAGGTAACATAAACGAATGTAAGCTGAACTACTATTTCTTCCTCCTGGCTGGAATTCAAGGCGTCACCCTACTCCTCTTCCTCATTGTGTCGGTGAAGTACGACAAGCAGAAGCCCAGAGCGGGCAGCCATCGGCCTTCTCTGGCCAACTCATGACACATACATGCATATAAACATAGAGAAAACAACAGTCTCCCTTAGAAATCCAGACAGCTTTCTGAGCTCCACACTAGAGCTGCACAATGTGGAGAGAATGCCAGTATCAGGTTTTTTACCGCTGCATATTCTGATTACAGTCAGGGGTGGATAAAGTACAGCACCTCTGTTCCTGAGAGAAAGCACAAACACTCTTGGTCACATATTGCTGGAGTAAAAGTAGAAGCATTCTGTCTTCATATCGATTTGAGTGAAAAAGCACTTGCTTGTAAATGTACTTAACTCTCTGTTGCATGGTGTTGCCTCAGGGCAACAGACTCATTTTCCTCACTTTACAAAAACATTAGACATTATTAAAGACAACGATAGGATTAACAATAAAGGAAAGAGTTTGAATAAGTCAATAAAAAGCATGTCTTTAGTCGTATTATCTCTACGTGGGCAAATTTAAACCTTTTTTAACATTCAGTATCAATTTTTTTTGGTATGAGAATTTGCAGAAATATGTTTGTTGCCTAGAAGCAACACCGTGCAGCAGAGGAATGGATTTAGCCAGTCACAAGCCAGGTTTCACCACTTCAAGGAACACGGCTTTATATCGTTTCCTCCCATCGTTGCACAATGTTGCCTCATGGCAACATACTCCAAAAGGACCCCTGCAGACATTATTTTCTTAATGTTTTTGAATTTAGTAATAGGTCCGAAAAAATCAAGGACCACTTCATACAAGGAAAGTGAATTAAATTTTTAGTTTTTACATTTTTTTTTATTTTTTAAATTTTTTTGTTGTTGTTTAATTTTTAATTGCTCTCACAATGCGTGCAGTAGAGGGTTAAGTATCAAAAGTAGAAGTAATATTTTGCCAAAAGTATTTGTACAGCAGTGTTGTCCACCCCTGATTGCGATATGTCTTACAGTGTATTAAAGGGTCAGTCAGTAATGTGTCATGGTTAGCAAAATTTTGACCAAAGTAATAAACTTTTGTTGGATTGCATGAATTTTTGTTTCAGCAAAACACTCAAAATCTGGAACTGTGATTGGTCCGAATGCTGATTAAAAGGCTGATTAGAAGGCTCATTTGCATATTGTGATATCAGTATTGCCAAAACCGTTATCACTATAATGATCTACAAGAGATGCATTGTGCAGCCCTAGTAACCACCCGCACCACCCACACCACCCGCACCACTCCCATATCAGCGCACTTCAGCAGGAGTTAGTGCCAAACGATGTTTCTGCGCGACGTTTGGTTTATTTATTTTTTCTGTATTTCTTTGGGATATTTTTTTTTTTTAATTGGACGTGCAACTGACCCTTCTCCTTACTTGAAATATGCAAATATGGTCAACTTTGGCTTCTAACTTTTAACTAACTTTTAACTTTTAACTGGAGTTTTAATCTTATTTGAAATTAAGGGCATGCCCTGTTTAGCATTTAGCAATTAGCAGTTACCATTTTATAGCAAAGTCTCATGCAGAACTTCATTCTTAGTGTTGATGGTTTTTAGTATTGATTGTAATGGTTAGCGTGTTTCTGCGGTTTGTATGAGACAGGAATTTCAAAGTGCATTACTGAAATTATTTCATATTCTAGCCTCAAAATGAGAATTTCTGGCACACTTTGTGGCATTAGCAGTTTCATATCGCTGTTGTCGGAAGAAAACCTTGTATCTCCCTTTTTGACGATTTTTAGTTTTTGACATAATTTGAAAATCCCTGTTGTCCTTTACATTGTGTGTGAATTTCATGATGAATGGACTAAAAGAAATTACCTACAATATCTTGGAAAAAAGTCTGGTTCCATTGACTTACATTAAAAGTAGAGTATGTTTTTTCCTTCTCCTGTAAAGTTACCATTTGGAGAGGTTTTCTTCTGACAGCAGCGATATACTAATATACAGTGGACGACCCTGTTAGACATGCAGGGATAAACTTAATCTCTAAGTCCCATCCAAAAGTACTGAAGTAACAGTTTGGTGTAAAATTAAAAGTACCCGGTTTTCCTCTTAATCCAGATGAAATCAATCAGCCAAGACATGTCTGGAGTCCAAATTTAGCTTCTTTAATTTAGCGCTGGAGCTGCGAGGATGATGTAGCTAACACTAGAAATCAATAGTCACCCAAATCTTTTCTGGAAAAACTTCCCAACTTGCTGTGTTGAGCTACACGGTGAAGTTTTATTCGTAGTAAGTTATAGTGTGTCCTAAACCACAGGCCTGCAGAAAAGATTCAGGTGACTATTGACGTTGTGTTAACAACATTAGCCTCGTAGCTCCAGCGCTAAACTAAAGAAGCAAACTTTTGACACCAAATGTGTCTCAGCAGATCGAAAACATCTGGGGTAAAATTATACACATTTAATTTTTCACCAAACTATTCCTTTAAAGAACGTTCTCACATTTCATATTGGCAAAAAATGATGTAAAAACTGGAATTTTAAGACAGTTGTGAATACATAACTCTTGTTTCTGAGCCCTTTTTGTGTGTATTTGCTTTTTGAGGAGGTTATTGCAGTGCAAATAAGTCTTTATAGTACAAAGTAGTGCAAAAATGACTGTAGACTGGAATTTTCTACCCGTTGTGGTTCTACACTAGTTTTAGACTCATACTCATGTACTTAGAGTGCCTTTACTTCCCTGAGAAAATGAGTGCATTAAATGTACTTTGCATGTGTACATCATTCCCACACGTATACAGTATATACATCAGCACAGTTACTGCCCGAAGTGTTTAAACTGACAGACAAAACAGTGTTGATAGATTTTATTAATGGAGCAAATACTGTACACGTTTGAATCAAGTAAGTTCAGTCATGAATGGACTAACCAGCTGACCGTTCGTGGGTCAGTTTTGAGAAATGCTGGTTAAAACATAAAACACTTATTGGACATATCTAACTGTAAAGTCGTTTCTTTTGAAGGAGAAAATTACTGTAAAGTACTACCGTACATAAACACTCTGCTTTCATTAAGTGTCTGTGCTTGAACCGTGTTTCTTACTCATTGATTGCACTTGGAAGGTTTGGCTGTGGAGCATTTTTACACCTGTATTCAGAATTTAAACATTTGTGCATTTGTTATTATTGTGTTTAACTTTGATTAACTTGTAAGTAGAAAATCACAGCTGTTCACTGCATTTTAACATTGTGTTCTGTTTCTGTTCGGTTCTAGTTGGTGCTTGGTTATGGTACTAATATGTCTCGTCATGTATCAGTTATACGTTGCACAGGGACGTCAATGCGGTAAAACTACAGGATAAAACTCTGGACGATTTCTTTCTTAACCCATTAATGTCCATATCTGAAATTTTAAAGGGCCCATATGATGGGAAACTGAACTTTCTTACTTTTGATTGACGTTTTAATGCGTTAGGTTCAAAACGTATCACCCTCCCCACACACACACCCACACACACATATATCGCTGCTATGGGAACCAAACCTTGTATCTCCATTTTTGTTGTTTTTCAGTTTTTGACATAATTTGAAAATGCCTGTTGTCCTTTATGATGTACGATAATTTCATGATAAACAGACCAAAAGAAACGGCCCAAAAGGACTTGGAAAATTTTCTGGTTCCATTGACTTGCATTAAAAGTAAGGTAGGTTTTTTTCTTCTCCTGTAAAGTTACTGTTTTGGAGATATGAGGTTTTCTTCCCACAACAGCGATACGTTCTCAGTTGTTCTCAGTTGTGAAGAATGTTTTGAAATCAGTCATATTGCATTAAATACTGTTAGTTTGAATGAGATTTTTCACAAAACAAGAGAAAATCCATATTTGATTGTGAATAAAAGTATGAAAATTACATTAATTGAAAACTCTCAATTGGGAACTGTTAGATATTCATCTAAGGTTGGACATAAATGGGTTAAACGATTAAATATGCCACCTGTATGGCATTAGAGCACTATTTTCACTGATATCATACCAGACCTTACTGCCTTATGGGTCTGTATTAAAGAGGAATTCCACCAAATTTTCAAAACATTTCTGTCACAGTTGTTCACAGTGGTGATAGGAACCAATCGTCCACCTCTGAAAGCTCCCTCACAGAAGGTTATTACATAAAATGGTTATGAATTCACTGCCTGGTGTTTTGTAATTTCACATTAAACCACTCTAAATGACTATGTTTACATCTGAAACACTGAATTGTGCAGATGCTTTTGAAAGATGGGTGGCATTCCCCTTTGACGAGTGAGTCTGAGTAGTTATGTAGAAGGACTGTTTGATTACGGTTGTAATATAAACGCAAACATCTCTCACCGCAGAATCATCAGATTAAAGAAAACTGGAGATTTTGCTAAACGGTCTGGTTTGACGTGAGAATTCAGTCCCTGATGTTTCTGATTGTTTCTGATGTTGTAAATGCTTAAATAATGAAGTTGCACTTCTGCCTGTTTACAGCTGCAGGTCACTTTATCTCCTCTCAGGGTGATGCTAATATGTTTAGCCCGGATCATTGTTGTGATATTAAATGTGAAGGATCACTCCTCTGAAGGTGTTTCCGCAGCTCTGGGACGAGCGAAGCCATGTCTGAGATTAAACACGCTTGATTTTACCTGAAATGATATTTTAGTTTTTCTTTTTCTTTTTCTGTTTTGAAATGTTGATGCTTTTACTCTGAAACTGAGACTGATGACTGTTTGTATTTGTTCATTAAAACTTTATTAAATCTCAGATGTGTGTGCAAATGAGTGATTTGAAAACTTAAGGGGAAAAGTCTGCATGTCTGTATATCTGTATTTTTATTATAATTATATTGTTCATTTTCTATTATTATTCTCTTTTATTATTCTTATTTTTCTGCCAGTTTTTTGCTGCATAACTCATCCTGCAGTTTTTGAGATGTCAACACCGTTCCAATTCCAGAATGTCCAGTCTGATTGTATGATTCGGGCTTGTCCACAGCTTTTTGATCAGATGCATGGTTTTCGTACAATCTTCGTTAAATTCCGAATTTTTTTCCCATAGAAATGAATGGGGTGAAAACGTGCACGACAACCTACTGTATTTCTGCTTGACGGAAAGACAACGTTTCGCACATACTATCAGGGCAGGCCCCAAAGCACAAATTCAGTGTTGTTCTGACTCACACTTGTCCGTTTTGTCATTTTTTTCCATCCCTCATTTCTCCCATAGACTCCCATTCATGGGAGAACGCCACCATACAAACTCTTTTTCTGCTTTTCCCGACAGCCACCGAACTACGTCCTCATTCAGGGCAGGCCCTCAAACTCTAATCCACAGCCTTACTGACCGGCACTCCTCTATGTGTTGGTTTTTCATCCCTCATTCCTCCCATAGGGTCCCATTCATTTTAACAACTTGTAGCT